CAGGAGGGGTGAACTCCGCCCTGTGGCCACTGTGGGCATCAAGGACACCCTGAGCCATGCACCTGGAGCTGGGGTTGTTAGCGTTGGGTTTGGACATACGCGTTTCTTTTGATGCAGTACTGGGGATTGAACCTAGGGCCTTTGCACTGAGCTCCATCTCCAGCCTTTTTTCACATTTTACTTTGAGATAAGGTCTTACCAAATTGTTCAGTTGCCCGGGCTGGGTTCTAACTTGCCATCCTCCTGTCTCAGCTTCCTAGAGCACTGGGATTTCAGGCGCACCTTTCCACACCCAGCTTGAACACATGCTTTGAGCTGAGTGTGTGTGACAGATCCATGTCTCAGCCTGGGATCTCCAGGACCCTTACTGGCACTTAGAACATCCAGGTTAGAGGGGACCGGAGCTATCACCTTCTCCGTTGCTGCCCTGCCTAGGTGCAGGGTTATAGAGCTGGGGCAGGTGCTCTTGAGGGTTGGGACGTGAAACAAACGACTTCAGGTGTACATGGCAACCAAGACTTTTTGTGTGTGTTGTGTTTTGTTGGAGATAAGGTCTCCCTATGTTGTTTAGGCTGGTCTTGAACTAAGGGTGATCATCCTATTTCAGTCTTTTTGAAGTGCTGGGATTACAGGAGGTGCACCACCACACCCAGGCTCTAAAATGGTTTCTTGGTAGAAAATGCAGAGGAAGCTCAGCTTGCTTGTTTTCTTTTTTTGAGATAGGATCTCACTATGCAGTTCAGGCTGACCTTGAGTTCACTTTGTAGGCCAGGCTGGTCTCAAGCGCACAGCGATCCTCCTGCTCAGCCTCCCAAGTGCTGGGATTACAGGCCTGTGCCACCTTGCCTGGCTGGAGCTCAGCTTTTACGTAAACCTTCTGGGCTCCCCTACACTCCCTGGGGATCTCAGTTTAGGCCACGAAACCTCTTGTTCTCCAGAGTGTACATTGGCAGTTTGTGTCCAGGACATTATGCAAGTTGGTGGGCCCTGGGCAGAGGGGGCCTTGGATAAGGCCTTGCCTGCTCTGAACAAGGCACCAGGGAAGGCAGCCTTGTGGGTGACATTGGAGCTGAGTCTCAAAGAAGGAGGGCCAGGGAGATGGCTTAGTGGACTAAGCGCTTCCCTGGCAAGCGCAAGGGCCTGAGTTCAATCCCCGGTTCCACCAAAAAAAAAAAAAAAAAAAGATTTATCAAAGAAGGAGCCCAGGATGCAAAGATTGGAGAGAAAATGCCGTGGAAAGAGGACTCCGGTAAGAGCGAAGGCCCTGCTGGGGCCTACCAAGCCTGCTGAGACTTTTATCAAAATAACCTGCAGGGCGGGGCTTCTGCCAAGGAAACAAGCAATCCAGAACGGGTGCTCTGTAGTCTTCCTCACGCCTCCAAATCCTGCTTAATCCTTACTCAGTTTACCTCTTCAGCCCAGAAACCTTCAGGTTCTACCAGTTTGTGGTTAATAAAAAGTGCCCACAGTGGTATGAGGAAGCCGCGGCCATCAGCCCCACCCACGTGGTGGAGTCCACCAAGTGCCTCTTCACAGTCCTGGAAAGTCCCCTGTGCTCTTTGCCACATCCCCACATATAGCTATGGAGCCCAAGAATGCATGGCCTAGACCGCTGGCCTCCATAGCTGCATGTGGTACAGGGGGTGAACTGTTGGGGGTCACCTGTTGTCCCAGGGAACGAGTCCACCACACTGAGACCCTAGATGCCTTCGATACTTTCTAAATCTACTTATCTTCTTCAAGATGGATTATGTGCCCTATTAGGCAAGTTGACATCTGAGTTGTTTTTTGTTTTTTTTTTGGTGGAACTGGGGATTGAACTCAGGCCCTTGTGCTTGCCAGGGAAGCACTTATTCCACTGAGCCATCTCCCCAGCCCATGACACCTGAGTTTTAAATAACATTATTGGCACTGCGGAGATAGCTCAGTAGAATAAGTGCTTCCCTGGCAAACACAAGGTCCTGAGTTCAATCCCTGGTACCACACACACACACACACACACACACAAAAAAAAAAAAACCAAAAAACAAAACAGTGGCAGTGAATAAGTAGTAACATTCAACAAGATTTTTTGGGGGCTGGGAGATAGCTCAGTAGAATAAGCGTTTGCCTAGCATAGTGAAGGGTCCTGAGTTCAATCCCCAGTACCGCCAAATAAATAAATAAAAAAAAATTTTACGGAGCTCATTGGCACATATAGAATATATTTATTTATTTATTTATTTATTTATTTATTATTTTTTTGCGGAACCAGGCCCTTGCACTTGCCAGGCAAGCGCTTATTCTATTGAGCCATCTCCCCGGCCACTATGTAGAATATATTTAAAGTTAAAAACAACAAAATTCAATGGCAGAACAGATTATTATTATTGTTTGTGTTTGTTAGGAGACAGGGTCTTGCTATATATTTCAGGCTGGCCTTGAACTATGTAGCCCAGCTGAACTTGAACTCACAGCAACTTTCCTGCCTCAGCTTCCTGCGCATTGGGATTACGGATATGTGCCACCAACGCCATGGTTCAGAATGGACTGTTTTTGTTGTTTTTTGTATTTTAGGGAAGGGTCTACAGGGTGTTCAGGGTCTCACCACTAGAATGGATTTGTAGTAATCCACCTTTTACAGCCTCCCAAGAGCTGGGATTATAGGCACACGCCACCACACCCAGTCTTGTTGTTTTGGGCCACGGTTTCACTATACAGTTCAGAATGGCCTTGAACTCACAGTGTAGCCCAGGTTGTCCTTAAACTCCTATCAATCCTCCTGGGATTACAGGAGTGCGCCCCCACACCCTGTCTAGGGTGGATTATTTTTATCAGAGCTGTAAAGAAAGCCGTTGTCCTCTCCTGCATCCCCACTATCACGCCACACTGTGTCTTGTAAACCAAATACGAATCTTTTGAGTTCTAGGGATCGAACTCAGGACCTTGAGCTTGCCAGGCAGGCACTTAAGCCACTGAGCTACCTCCCGGGCTCAAATACGAATCTTCTGCTTCTCACCCCAGTATCAGTCCTTTCCAGGGACACCAGGTGACAATTTCCTGGTTTTCTCGCCCATAATTGTGCCATGTGATGAGTTACTGTTCTCCCTTAGAACAAGTCTGAGCCCAAGAATACTTACATTTTACCAATGCAAGTCTGTTACAAGAGAAGAAAACACATAGGAGATATTTATGCTCAAATAAACCGACTTGTGACAAAGTGATAAGATCAATGAACTGTGACTTCCGTGAGCTGGGAAGTAGCCAACTGTGTTTGAGATACATCATTACTTGTTTCAACACTGTCTGTTACATGCCTTTTCCTAATACACGGACGACAGCAATATCACTGATGTGGCCAAAAAAAAAAAAAAAAAAAAAGATTCGACCACCCTTTCCAATTCCCTTACGTTTTGGGGAATCCTTTTACTGGTGTGTATAGCCGTCTGCACCCCTTTCCCGGGAACCCAGCGCGTGGCCTTAGGGGCGCTTTAGATGCTGGCGAGGGGACGCTGTGGTCGCCGCGCCGCACCGCATGGATTCAGCTCAGATGGCCCTCGGAGCACGGAGCAGAAGCCAGCCGCTGGAAGGCCCCCTGAGTCCCCGCGATGCTGCGCCCGCACGCGGCCCGGGAGGGCAGGCGGCTCCCGCCGCAGGCTCCCGCCCTCCGCTCCCCCAGCCGCTCGGCGGCCGCCTTTTCACCGCGGGCCGGCAGCCCCATTTAGGGAAGGCGGGTGGGTGTGAAGCGACTTCGTGAAAAGGTTAGTGCACATTTTTGGCTCTCACTTCCGAATCTTGCAGAATGTCTTTTTTTTTCTCTTTTGCCTACTTAATAATTTTAAAAAGCCATGTCACATTGCTGTAGCATGTCTTCTGGGTTGATTTCCTTTTTTAAATTCAAGTCTTTCTTTTCACCCGCCCACTGCTGCCACCCCGGGACCGGGCGAGAAGGGGCGCGCACAGGTGGGGCCGAGGCTGGCCCCGGCGCCCGGCAGCAGGCGTCGCCCCTCCGCCCGCGCC